TGCCTTGCACTGTTCGCAGTGCCCAGAGATGAGTGAACTTTGTTTCATCTTTTCTCGGGTCCTTTGTGTCTTGTGGTACAGCCATCATCTTTTCTAAAACGAAAAGCAGAGAAAAGTGAATATTTAGGAATTGTTATAGATACTGCACAGTCGGCTGGTTTAGTGACAGCTGTTACAAGAGAGTTTGAGCCACCAGTTCTATGCCACATTGTCATTTTCTCAATTCCTTGAACACTGACAAAATAGTAAAGATGAAAAAGAAAAATATTAATCATTAGGATTAAAAGAGAATCTTCACAACTGGTTTATACGATGGAGAGGAGAAAGCCTTGTAGGGCATAGGGCAGGAGAAGCCCATGGCATCGTACATCCATGTTACGTATGGATTACAAAAATCCATTGACAATAAGACAAGACACGGCTTAAACTGAAGTAGGAAGAATCCAAGCAGACATGAGGAAAAATAAAGCAGAGCTACTTAAACAATGAGATGTACTGTTGGTTCAACAGACAGGATCTACATCATCTGAGAGTTTCAATAACAAGTCAGACAGTGGTACAGAATGATACATCTGTGGTTGATCCCGTCTTGCCAGGCACTGACGGAGAGGTCGGTATCTTAAGGCATCTCCTGACATTTCACACGTCATAATATGCATCTTCAGCTCTAAGTACTGAAAGTATCTGAGCTCTTCTTAACAGATGGGCTCCTCTTGAACATTTGTGAGCTGATGAAAAATACTTTATGACCTCTTTCCCCAAGACAAGTTATTTAATTCATGTTGCATTACTGCATATTGTTATTCTGCTTTATTTTAACCAACATTTTGGTTTTCAAGGGCCAGGTTCCTTCTAAGTGAGGGCTCATCTCCCAGTAAGCAGTAAAGCTTTCTGTGTAAAACACTAACAGTAAAAAGAGCAACCTGATGTAGGAACCTGCGTGAATGTTTATATCTGAGATGTCACTGATAAGAAAGATTTAGAGACCTTGGAAGTCATATTTTTCGCCCCAAAGATTTCAGCAAGGCCAGTGGGAAAATAAGTTACTACCATATCATCCAGATGATTAAATACCACTTGTTTTAAGGACAAGGAATAGTTCTGCTGCTTTATCTATTCTGTTCGTTATCTTTCTCCTTAGTTCGAAAAGCAATAGGACAACAATTTCATTTGTATGACGGAGATAACTGTGCAGCAGGAACAAGCCTGGGACCATCAATTCATTTCCCAAAAGCCATCCATTACTTAATCACAGCAAGTTTAACACTGGGATTCAGCTGAGTCACAGACATTAACCATGTTATGCTTTCCTAATTGGAGTCTTCAGTAGATACTGTTTATGTTAAAGGTACATAAAATTCTGTTAATGGGTTTCTGATTCTTCCTCATGTATGATACTTATATAAACACTTAAATGTGGGCAAATATTACACAATGATATCTGTATATCTGTAAATTCTCCTTCAATAAATTGTTCGTGTTCTTTTCATGTAAATTTGAAAGCGCGCTCTATGGCAGTCTGTAAGCAGTTTGTAAAAAAAATTAAGATAGGACAACTTCTATTCTCCGAACATAAATTTGTGAACAGAAAGTTATATCAACGTCTTCACATTTGTACTGAAAGCCATTTGTGGTTTTAATGAACCTTTGAACCAAGGGAAAGATATCACACAGGTGATTTGGATTATTACACATTACAAATTAATAGAAAGGCCGATAGTCATAGTAATTAATTCAAAAGCAACTCAGAGATTAGCATACACTGTGGCAAAGCCCACTGCCAGATGATTCATTAATAGAAGAGAGCTAACTGATCAACGAATGTCCTCTGAAAAAAGTCTGCCAAACTCTCTTATTGTTCTTTCCAGCTCCATCATTGCCTTGCATCTCTGTTCCCCTTTTTTCACAGCAAGGACCTCCATTATCTCCAGTGCATGGACCTGCAAGGAGGTACTGTTGGCTGTAACTTAAATGCAGCTCATCTATGATAGATGAGAAAGAGTAAAGCTAAAAAGAAGCTTAAAACTTGGGGTTATATTAACTATTATGAGAACAGAGTGTGGATGAACGGTTTGTGAAGGTCAGCAATTTCTGCAAAAGGAAAAGACAAAAAGCATAAAAGACAGCACAGCTGTACTGAGAAATCAGTCATACAGAGCGATCAAAGGGAATGAGAGGAAGTTGAGCATGAGACATATTTGTGATATGCATTATCACATATTGCAATTGCAATCTCATTGCAATACAACCAATAGAATGTATTACAATTTAAAGAGTCAATTTGAATCAAAGATAGAAATTGACAATCATACAAGAGATTGTATTCTTATGTAAGAGAAGCATAAGAGCTCTCAAAAAATCACATATGTAAAGCAGTTTCTGTAAAACTTAACTAAAAAGATGTAGAAGAAAAGAATACTGCAGTAAAATATCTGTCTTTTAAAGAATGTACAACGGTCACATTAAAATCTTCTACACTGAAAAAGATGGCATGGCTAAAGACTGAATCCTTCTAAGATGTATTCATGTGAACAATACCACTTTAATACATGGAAACACTTATGTGAGTAAAACTCTCAGCAAATGTTTCAGGAGAACTTTGTGTCTTCTAACTTCACATTTTCTCTTACGTCTCTTCATTTACCTCCATCAGCATTAGCAGCAGTACTAATATTGGTTGGTGTGCTGTAGTATCATTCACTCACAATTTTCATGTACTTCTATGGAGAGCAGAGGAGTTCCTGAACTCATGTAGTCCCTACAGTGAATGCTCAGATCTTTCAGGAAGGCCTGGTTGTGGGTGCCCCATCCCTGGAGGTGTCCAAGGCCAGGTTGGATGGGGCCCTGGGCAGCCTGGGCTGCTATGAAATGTGGAGTTTGGTGGCCTTGCCTGTGGTGGGGGGTTGGAGCTTCATGATCCTTGAGGCCCCTTCCAACCCGGGCCATTCTATGATTCCTGATTCTGTGACTCCGGGCCATGGTAGCATAAGCTGCTTTTAGGGACAACTGGAAGGCCATATTCTCTAAAGGCCAGCTGTCTCCTCAGTCCCATCCTTCTTCCCACAGAAATTGCATACCCAAACAACTGACTGCCAGCAGGCATCATATATTCGCCATTGAAATAGAGGTTCAATGGGATGCCTGTTGAGCAGACAGCCAAGTGAGCTTTCTGACTGCCTCTCACCACTCGTACCATGAAGCAGAGCTACACAAAGAAAACACTGCTGCCAACATCCAGCACAAAATACACCTGCAGTTTGGGGCATCACCACATCCACTCTCATAGACAACACTGCCCAATTCCTTTTCACCTTTTCCCAGCAGATTCTCTGAGTACTTTCGCCTCAGTTTTTCCCTTGTTGAGGATTCTTACCCCACTAGCCTTGACAGAGAGTGGAAAAAAAGTGATGAAGCAAGCATACCTACAGTGTTTGGTGGAAATTCATGGTGCTTCCTCTCACTTCTCCCATTAGACTCTAGGGGTAAAAATCAATGATACTTTTTCACTTGGCAGAAGCACCTCACACGTGATATATGGAAATTTTTGGCTCAGTGTATGTGATCTGAACACTCAACTCTTCATTTCTTTCCCCTTTTCTCCACTGCATTACATTTAATTTTTTCTTAACTGAGCAACACTGTGCGGCTGCAGTCATTCACAGAATCACAGAATTGTAGGGGTTGGAAGGGACCTCAAGAGATCATCGAGTCCAACCCCCTGCCAAAGCAGTTCCCTACAACAGGTCGCACAGGTAGGCGTCCAAGCGACTCTTGAATATCTCCAGAGAAAGAGACTCCACAAACCCCCCAGGCAGCCTGTTCCAGTGCTCCGTCACCTCACCCGAAGAAGTTCTTGTGCACATTCATGTGGAACTTCCTATGCTGCAGCTTATATCTGTTTCCCCTTGTCCTGTTTCCACGTACCACTGAAAAGAGACTGGCCTCACCACTATGGCCCCCACACCTCAGGTATTTATAAACCTTACAATAAACCAGATATTTATAAACATTACAACTGTTCTCAGTCTGTATTTACCTTTGAAGGTCAATATTAATTATTCTGCCATACATCCCCCATTTCGGAACTGCAAGCAGCTTTCATGTCCTCTCTATGTGAGAAGTTAGTCCAGAAAAAGGTTTTAACTCACCCTATGAATCCTGCCATGGGGCTGTTCTGCCAATCATACAAAGAAAATTGTCTTTCTTCTCTGCAAAGTACAATGAACTTTTCATCTTCTCACTTAACAGTTGTATCTTTTAAAGAATAAAAGTAAATACAAAATTGGCGAGGATTCAGTAACAGGAGGTCAGCTATAAATACTTGTAAATGGGAAGCATACAATGAGCATCTTTGGAATTATGACATTACAGCATTCTGATTTTAGGAAAGTTACAATTAAGCTCCGTTTCAATACAACCAACTCTATGTTACAAACTCAACAAAAAAACGTACGGAGGAGCAGAAGTCCTACTCAGTGCACTTAGTGCCTTTTACACGGTCATCCAGATACAGCATGGTCACAGCTCTGGCCTGGTTCGACCTGGATCCTTGACTAAATGGCACAGGGGGACCCATGGACCCACGCCCTGTGATGGGTCTAAAAACAAAACAGCGGCAACGAGCTAAGGGAGAAAATTAATTTACTAGATATTATAGCACAGTGTCAGAGAATGCAATATAGCACAATACAATTGGAATTGTAGCTAATAAATCGAATAAACAGGAGAGAGATTGTTCAAAACTGAAGGCCTTACTCTAATGTTGAAGGTGGGACAGCTAGGGAGCATACACTGCAGAGCCAAGCAGAAATAGAAGTCTCATGACTCCCAGTTTTCTCTTTCCTTCTAAACAGAAAATGGAACAGTGAAGTATTCACAGAATCAGTGATTCTGTGATTCCAACTGAAATTCTCTGAAATTACTCCTTTTGTACCTTTGGATGCTCCCAGATCAAATCACTAGGAATCACACCATTTCTTTCCCCAACAGGACATAAGAATCTAACACCTAGAGAGCTGTATTTTTCAAGACTGTTTTGTTGTAAGCAATTACGCATCTTCATTTTTTATGTGAAGCTATATTCATTCAACCTGGAGTTTACTTTTAAGTAGTTTAGACCACACTTCAGAACTTAATCACATGAGTGGCTCCACCCTCACCTAAAGGTAATGCTGCTTTTCCTGAATGCTATCTGATTTGGCCCTGAGAGCTCACAAGCTACACCTGCTCACTAACTGAAGATACAGTAGCAAAAACGATTTCCTGAGTGGTTCAGAGTTGCTCACTTGCATCAGCCCAAGACATTTCCAAACCAAACCCTCCAAGTGGGTTGAGAGGGTATGGTCTGTCTCCTCTGGTTCCTGACTATTGAGTCCCACCATGTCAGAACGTACAGCACATCAAAAAGTCTGTGCAATGCTCAAAAGTGAGATGGGGAGAAGCTAGGTTGGCACGATGAGATATTCTGCACAGCCCTTACTAAGCTGATGCTCAGATAAATCCCTGCTGTCCAGTGTAAACTCCTTTACCTTCTACCTCCAATTACCTCGTCTAATGATCCTCCAGCAAGATGAGCTATATCCACTATGCCCTATCCTATATTCTTCAGGTGCCCTCTGTGCTCTGTCTGAAGTCAGCTCTGCAGGTGGCACTGTGTCCTGCCTGTTGGTAAGCTCACATGTTCTCCTTTCACTACCATGACATTGCTACTGTGCAAAGCTTGCACAGTTCCTAAAAGAAAAACAAAAGAACAGAAATGTTCTCCAGAAAATAAGACCGCTTCTGTTAGCCTGGGCTCCTGTAAGGGCCAGTCACTGAAGAAAGCTGTTGTAGTTTGGCCAGGTTTGGTGATAGGGAGCTAAGGCATCTACGGACTGAGAAGAGAAAAGGGTGGGGGAAGTTAGGCCTAGGCAAGAAAGCCAGCAGCAGTGAACTAAGGGAAAAAACTTAATTTACAAAATATAGCAGCGGAATGTACGATAATAGAATATGATGGGATTTGAAGCTCATCAATAAAATAGGAGAGAGTTTACAAAACTGCATTCCTTACTCTAATGCTACAGGTGAGACAGCCAGGAGCACAGACAGCAAAGAGAGGCAGTCTTGAGACTCCATCATTTTATCTGTTTGTTCGAATGGAAATGGAACAACGAAGTCCTCTGGGAGTTGTAGTTCACTCTTGTCTTCTGGGACCAGGAAACCAGAAATGTTGACAAGCCACAGAACGGCAGTACTAACCCTTTAACTCCAGTGCACTGAGAGATGTGATGGTGTGGAATACTGACCAAAAAACATAAAACCAAGACAAGAGAGTGTCTCTTGGACTGAGGCTGCTTCCTGTGACGGAGTGCTGTGTAGCCATGTAGCCATAGTCCTTCACTAGTTGGGTGAGCAAAATTTTTCTTTCTATGATTACTGGTCTACCTGTGAATACTTTGCCTGCTATCTCCAAGAATCTGTCAGAAGCAGTTTTGCTTCTCTGTGAGCAGGGCACCTACATTAACTTTATGTTGTGTGTTCAAAGTTGGCCTACAGTGCTAGTCTGCAGCCATATGCAAAGCACTACGAAATCATTAGGGAAAACTTGTGCCAAGACATCTGAAGGCACTTCTCCAGAAAATACAGGTGGGCAAAGCACTCTGCATGTTATCTCTGCCTTTGATCTCTTACCCGATTCCCTGAGAAGGAAACAAAGGTGCAGAGGCTGGAAGGGAAGCACAGGGCACTCTGGCAGTCCACCAGTAGGGATGCGTGAGGGACCGTGGCTGGGCAACATGCCCACAGAGCCACTTGTCTTGAACTCTGAAAACTACCTGCAAGTCTTTGACTGCAGTGACTCTGAATAGAGCGCTCACCCTTACTGCTGATACACTAACAAGCATTTCAGATAGTTACATTTAGTACAGCTGGAGCAAAGGTTCACTCTAGCTTGAATACATGGAAAACAGAATTTGCTTACAAGTCCTCCTAGGGTAGCCATAATGGCTGCAATCAAATAAATCAGCGATCTCTACTTGCTGCTGTCTTCCATCCCAAACATTTCACTGCGGGAGGATAATCAGCTAAGACTACAGATGAGCCTTTAAGAAATTAGCTTAGGAGTTACTGTGCTGTGATCAAGTTACAAAACAAGAGGCTCTAATTCTTGGATTCAAAGTGCATGAAATTGCTATTCAGGGTGAAGAATGATCATTTAATATACCAACCTACTTGCCTTTCATCTGTCTTCACCACTTTCACCACAAGGCGTACAGAAATGCCATTAGAAATTGACAGATTTCTCAGTTCATATTCAACCTCCTTTTGCAGGATAACAAATACTTAATTGCCACCTCTAGGTTAAGGTATATCGGGGTAGGAAGGAAAATGCTTGGGTATTTCTAATGAAACTTCAAATATATGGGATTTCATTCACCTTCATAATTTGAAAACTTTTAGCAGAGTGAATAATTTTATCCTGCTTTTTTTCCTGACCAGGTTTTACTGGTAACATTTTCTCGAAACCAAGGTTTAAATAAAATGACTAAAAATCAATGTGTTTAAGGTTGAAGAAAATAAACAGAGAAAACTTCTGAGTTTACCACTGAGTCTTCTGTCAAGACTCACTGCACTACGTGAGGTTATGAGCACTACACTATGGGTTATGAGCAAGCCCTTCCATGAGGCAAATACTGGGAGGAGGACTGTACCTCTCATACAAAGGAGTTACACCAAATTCCAGTATCTTCATTTTTCAAGGCAAGGGGGACACTAAGAACTGACATTTGAAGACCAAGTCAGGGAACCTACTGATTAAACACTAATGCAAACTGTCCCTTCTCTGCTATCATCAAGGAGGGACAGCTATATTAAAAGGAGAGCATAATTCTGTTGATTGATTTGTTGAGTCCTCATCTGTTTCTCAAGGTTCTGACATTACAGTTAGCAGTGAAATACTGAACTCTACTTGCAGTTGGTCCTGAGGTGAGAACAGAAAACACTAGATACAACAATTCAGTTATACTTAGCTTTGTACATGTGGAATTTTAATATATTCTTCGTATCCTTAAAAGATCTCTGTGTTCATGTGTATCTCCCACTCACACATCTTCTCAAAGAAACCTTGAAGAGCATCTGTTTAATCACTGATATTCTGGTTAAACTAGCCAGCTTAATATACATTCTTTTCTTACGGGCAGGATACAACCCACCTCTGACAGAAGAGTAGCTTCCAGCTGATGAACTGAATCACCTGGTTGCCTCATTGGTACTAGTACAGATCTGTAATTATTATCATTGGCATTCTAGTAACATTAGTCTAGAGACTAATTACGAAAATGTTAAACTTGGAGAATTGGATGTCATGGGGCTCTCTGACTTCACATCCACGATATACACATTTTAAACATTTCTGAAGTGCTTTCTTTTATGAGCATTTGTCTGTTTCATCTTACAGGTGAGAAATCCAGATTTACTGTCAAATAGGTTCTACTATAGTGCACAGCTGTTCCTTGCACTGCATTTTGGCCAGGATCTTGCATTCTCTGGGGACTCGGAGCAAAGTAATTTGTGTAAAACTAAGCAGATTAACATTTAACTCTCTTTCAGGCAATGCCCCTGACCATGAGGCTTTCAGCTTTGCTCCTGTTGATGTTTCCTCACTATGAGCGTGAGACAACTCTGCGCTGAGCAGTTCATCAGCAGGATCTGCCTGGGATGGAAGACCCTTTCCCAGTTCTCAGCCTATTTGAAGCTGACTTTTATTTCTTCTCTCCAAAGTCTCAAGACAAGATTGAATCCTGTGTTCCTGTATTGTCCTATACTGGTCAAGTGCTCTCATCACCTTAACCAACAGCACGGCCTTAAAAGTGCACAGAGCTGTGCAGCATTTCAGGACATACAGGACTGCTGAATGTGACAGGCAGCTCCAGAGACACCCAGACTTGTCTGTACCAGCAGCAGGAAGCAAGGAGCACCCTGCAGCACCTCAACTTTCATCAGGTGCCTTTATGTGGGGACCTGAGTCAAGGTCCTAGCTCCCATGTGGACACCAACGTAAGGACACCTATGTTCAGGAAAGCAGTTGGCTGGAAATTGAATCTCACTCTTCCTCTTAAATTTTGCAGTCTTCTGTACAACGTTTTTATGAGAACAGAAAAAAATCTGTAGAGATATGATTTAATTGAAATTTGTCACCTTCGCCTGATATTGAAGAGCACTTTCCAATTTGATACATGAAGAAGAAAAGACAATTCAATCACTACAATCTCCACTAGGTCTTTTTTATCTCAATCCATCAAATATTTCAAATCCCTTTTTACATCCTTGGTATTCACCCAATAGCTAATATTAAAATCCACCCCATCTTCATTCTCATTTTCATCTTTACAGATCAAAAGTATCTAAGATAATCTGTGTTCCTGAGCAGATCCCAAGCAGCAGCCCAAATACAAAGTGACGTAGAATAGAAAAAAGTATATGCAATAACTGTTTCTCCTGCTGTCAGCGAATCACCGAGGTTGGAAAAGATCTGCAAGATCATCACCAACAGTTCTCACTAAACCACATCCCTCAACACAAAATCCTTGAAACATTCCTTGAATGCCTCCAGGGTCGGTGACTCCTTCCACCTCCTGGGAAGCCCATTCCAGTGCCTGACCACTCTTTCAGAGCAGCAGTATTTCCTAACATCCAACGTGAATCTCCCCTGGTGCAGCTTGAGGCCATTTCTTCTGGTCGTGTCACTGGTTACATGGGAGAAGAGGCCGAGTCCAGCTCACTGCAACTTCCCTTCAGGTAGTTAGGGAGAGCTGTAAGGTCTCCCCTGAGCCTCCTCTTCAGCAGAACGAACAATCCCAGCTCCCTCAGCCAAGCTGATAACACCACTCTGTCAAAGGGAGGAGCTGCACAGTATCATAGCAGATTAAAATTACTCAAGTTCCCCTGTAGGCAGGAAGGTAAATATTAAAACTAAAGTCCAGCTGGATCAAAATAACCAAACATATGATTTTCAATAATACAAATTTTAATTTCATGATTAGGGAGTCACAAACTTCATGGAAATCAGAAACTAGGAGGATTCACCTCTTAAATAGATTTTACTAATGGTGTTTTATCGTAAAGTTCTACACTGATATCTCAGGTCTCCTATAACGCTGCAAGTAAATCTGCCCCTCCAGCAAGTCTGCTACCTTGAACACATCCCATATCACAGTGCATTTGGGAAGAGTGACAACTGCTAACTCTTCTTGTACACCTGTTTGTGCATTTACCCTGGAGGTCTCCCTTTAAGCTGTAAGCAAACGCTGTCATTGCTTCAGCTGTGTGATGAAATCAATGTCTGAAGCAGCCTGTCTGACAGTGAATCTCTGCTCTGAGGAAGAAGGTCAGATATTACATGGACTTCTTCATCATTCACATCTGTCACTTTTATCTCAATCTGTGTGTAACTGTCTTATTTTGTAGGCTTTTTTCCCAGCTGCAAAGTTCAAGTCTTTTGCTTCTGCCTTGCCACACATTCCACTGGAGACACAGACAGGTACAAGATGGGCACCTTATCAGATGTTCCCGCAGACAACAGAGGAGAAGCAGCCAGCACAGCTGCTTCTTCCACATGATATTTCTTATCCCCCTTACAGTTCAATAAAACAGGAACAACTTCAGCTGTCAGTGAAGTGCTTTCTGAAAAGGCATGCTGCTTTGGAAAGAGTACAGCCATACTGCCACATTACGGAGTACAGGATGAACCACAGACAGCATACACTACAATTCACACTGAGATGTACACACATACTAAATAGAGAATTTTTTGGATGGCTTTCTTAAAGTGACTTCCAGCTTGAGGCAAGGCAAAAATAAGAGATACGTGAAATGAATACATAATAAGCATTTCAAGTTAAAGCAGAAAAAAGAGCATGGCTCAGATAAGGTCATTTGCAATAGCTTAATAGCTTTTGGAATAATATTCCATGGTGATGATGAAAGACAGATGGAATCTGTGACTGTGATAAATCTTCAGTACATAGAGATGAGCAAGGACTACAAGAAAATCTTTCAAAATGGAAAGACTCACTGGTATGCCCTTACCTTTGTCAGCTGCTCCCTTTTAACTATATGCTGATGATCATAAAGACAAATGCCACAGTCTATTTCAGGCGATGAGTAAATCCATGGAGAATACTCAGCTGCAGCACTGCCTGTCTTGTTACTTTTTTGGCAAAAAAGGCCCGTGGCTGAATGGTGCCTTCAGAAAGACCTGACATTTCCCAAGCGAGCCTTGAAAGGAACACGTTCTATCATCTTCTTCTCCCTACATGGAACATTCCTTCTCAGCCCAGGTTTTTGATTCAACAGAAGGGGAATGCAAACTCATCAAATATGCCTGTAGTGTTTGCGGGCACAGCTCTCCTGAGTTCTGAAAAACCACATCTTTCTTCTGCTAAAGGTGGATTTGGCACACAAATTTGCCCAGAGAATACCAGCTTCTGTATTTTCCTATCAAATTATGAAATCAAACCCGACTGTCGAGCATGTGATCAAGATATTGACTAGATTTTTGTGGGTTTGTGGGTTCTCAACATGCAGCTCATGAAATACAAGTATCCTTTTTATACCTGGATCAGTTATGCAGTCATGCAGTTCTGTTCTTTTCATTATCAAATTACGTAAATTCATATCACACACTTTAACAGAGTCGAGTAAAAGTATCACGTACTTCTAAAGCCTGGAACCTGAGTATTATGTTTTGAAAATCATTCAGTTAAAAAAGAAACAGAACTGATGTTTGATTGAGTAGCTTTCTTTTATTCCTAGCTAAGCTGCCAGCATGAGCATTGGCCTATATAATAATTCAATGTAATAATTCACCTAAAGATTACATAGCAATTATGTTTAAGAGTCATTATGTGTGGAAATGTGGTAATGACTTATGTTCCTTCTACAATGACCCTCAGCTACTTAATATCATGATAATAACCACGACAAGACATGGTCCTTAGACAGTAAAACATATCGTTCCTATAATTGAAGTGTAAATATATGGTATTTTTCATCCTTAGTCACTAAAGTAACTACTATTAATAGGAAAGAGTGTATAAGTGTATACATACATATTTATATATTTATTTAGTGCATGACAGAGACAGGAAAAGAGGAAGAGAGACAAAGATGTGATAAGATAGGAGAAAACTAATTGACAGTATTGAAAATAAATACACACATTTAAAAAGGAAATATAAATCTGATTACTTTCAACCTGAATTCTCCACTATTGGATTTCCTAGATATGGACAAGCACTACTGACATGTTAAAAATACAAGACCACTTTCATCTGGCTAGGAAAATGTATTAGCCAATTATCCAATATGTTTCTGAAATGCCACATTTAAGCAGTTTTCCTCTGAAGACAATAAATCAGAAAATCTTTAAGAACATGTTAGGAAGTCTGGTGACAAAAGTGACCCCAATTCCAAATCTCAAAGAAAAATAAATCACCACCCACAAATCTTACTCTCTGGAGTAATAGACTTGAGTAGGCCTGTGCAGATATTTTTTGCCCTATACTTGTGTCTACTTGAAGAATTTGGTAAGTTTTGGTCAGTGAACCAAATCTGTAAAAGAGATTCCTTTTTGTATTTCAAAATAATTCATTTAATTAATTATAAACAACTTTGAATTAGACTCAGACTCCAAAACTTCCCTATTTCCTCTTTTTTCTGGTGACAGAAATGTAACTGTATGTCATGGTTTTATGATTTTTATTCCTGGTATTCCACATCCTAACACCAGGTAGTACACTGGGAGTAAAGCGTTAATGCTCCAGTTCCATGGATAGTAGATACTTTGGGGTACCTCTCCCAGAAGAGAAGAAGAACAACATCCCCCAGAAGACTGCTCACTGATCTGTTACCATTTCTGCTCAGAGGGAAAGATAAAAACCATTTATAGATCTTTCGACCTCCCGTTTTTGATTTTCTGGCTCATCTCTGCTCCCAACAATATCACCTCAGCTTAGTTAGTATAAGACACTCTCATTTTATTTATTAGCTTCAATTCTAATTATATTGTATTATAGTGTGTTATCTTGCATTCTGATATCCTATTTAGTAAATTAGTTTGTTTCTCTTCAGATCATTGCCACTGTTTTGTTTTTAGGCCCATCTCCCTACCTTTTCCCCCTTTCCTAGGGCTTGGATCCACAGGTCCTCCTGCCCCACTAGTCTATTACCCATGTTACCGTCTGAAGAACATAGAAGTGCTCATTCACAAAAACTCAACAGTGATTTCATAACAGCTAATTTAGCTACTTTGATAAAGGTACTGCCTTGAAATACTAAAAAATTCCTGCTAAGAGCAGGTGGCAGTGAAATTACATTGGACAGAATAGCCGTGTACTTTCCAGAGAAACGCTTGTGAGTATATCTGAAATCAAACCAACAGTATTCATAGGAAATTTACCATTCACACAAATTTTGAAATTGCTAATGGCCTCTACATGATCAAGTCTGCACACTTCATATGAAACATTTCACTGTGATTAAAAATATAAAGGTTCTGTACTAATGATCGCTGGCAATCTTAGGTGAAATTTTTCTCACTTTTTTCATTTACATTAACTCTATTTCATCTGACATACTTTTTAGATTAAAACATTTTTAGAGTGAGGATCTTCACTAGCAACATTCTTTCCTTAACATATTATGTGAGCCTTATGCCTACTGTATGGGCACT